GTTAATTTCTCTGTCCAAAGACTAGGAATTAATGTCGTACTAGGTATCTTGAGATGGATCCCAAAATCTGGATTATTTGTGCGTGTCTTAATTTTCTTATTTGACATGCTTGCTTATTTTGTTCTCTATACAGTTTTTGTTGTTAATGTTGCGAACGTCTCTGCTCAAGTCAGCAACATCCCAATGCTGAGCAGGACGAACTTTAAAGTTTGGAAAGAAGCCATGGAAATTGTCCTCGGCTGTATGGATTTGGATCTTGCACTTCGTTCAGATCGACCCGCTTCTACTCCGGAAAACCCCAATGAGGGTAAAATTGAAAAGTGGGATCGCTCTAACCGGATGTGCTTGATGATCATGAAACATTCCATTCCGAAAGCGTTTCGGGGCTCTATTACTGAGAGCGGGAGTGCCAAGAAGTTCTTTGAAGAAATTGAGCAATATTTTGCCAAGAATGAAAAATCAGAGGCGAGTAACCTTTTGGCTAAACTCGTTTCCATGAAGTATAAGGGCAAAGGGAACATAAGGGAGTACATCATAGAGATGTCTCATCTCGCATCAAAACTCAAGTCGCTTAAGTTGGAGCTGTCTGATGACTTGCTCGTGCACTTGATTTTGATCTCTCTTCCTGCGCACTTTGGGTAATTCAAAGTGAGTTATAACACTCAGAAGGACAAATGGTCCCTAAATGAGCTTATATCTCACTGTGTGCAAGAAGAAAAGAGGCAACAGTGTGATAAGACCGAGAGTGCTCACTTGGCCTCAACCTCTCAGAACAAGAAAAAGAAGAGAGCTAAGGCTGCTGTGGAAGGAACTTCTTAGCAGAAGAAGCAAAAGAAGCAGGATAAGGAGTTTACCTGCTACTTCTGCAAGAAGTCGGGACACATGAAGAATGAGTGTCCCAAGTACGCTGCCTAGCGTGTAAAGAAGGGTATGCTTCTAACTTTAATTTGTTCTGAAGTTAATTTAGCTTCTGTACCTAAGGATACTTGGTGGGTAGATTCTGGTGCTACTACTCATATAAGTATGTCCATGCAGGATTGCCTGTGGAGCCGATCGCCAAATGATGCTGAAAGATTCATCTTTGTGGGCAATGTCAATAAAGTTGCGGTAGAGGCTATAGGGACTTTCAGATTACAATTAAAAACTGGGTTTTATTTGGATTTGTTTGAGACATTTGTTGCACCGTCCTTTAGACGGAATTTAATTTCTATTTCTAGTTTGGACAAATCAGGATTTTCTTGTTCATTTGGAAATAATAAAGTTAGTCTCTATCAAAATTCAAATTTTGTTAGTTCCGATCATATGATTGATAATCTGTATATACTTGATATTGTTAGTTCCTATAACGAAATATTGCAAACAAGTTCACGTGGTACAAAGCGAAAATTAAGTGAGAATTCTACCACTTTGGCGCACAAGCGTTTAGGTCATATCTCTAAGTAGAGAATTCAGAGGCTTGTGTCGGATGAAATTCTTGAACCCCTAGATTTAACAAACTTCCAAGTTTGTGTTGAGTGCATCAAGGGAAAAAGAACAAACATGAGAAAATTAGGTGCCGAGAGAGCTACAGACGTCTTAGAACTGATACATACTGATATCTGTGGCCCATTCCCTACGGCTTCTTGGAATGGACAACAATACTTCATTACGTTCATAGACGATTACTCTAGATTCGATTACCTATATTTAATACACGAGAAGTCTGAATCCCTGGATGTTTTCAAGTCTTTTAAAGCTGAAGTTGAACTTCAACTTGGAAAGAAAATAAAGGCTATCAAATATGACCGTGGTGGTGAATACTACGGAAGATATGATGGATCAGGAGAACAACGTCCAGGACCCTTCGCTATTGAGGAAAATGAGTGTGGAATTGTTCCGCAATACACCATGTCGAGCAAACCTAGTATGAATGGTGTTGCAGAATGACAAAACCGAATTCTTAAGGATATGGTAAGGAGTATGATAAGTCATTCCTCCTTACCAGAGTCACTTTGGGGAGAAGCTTTAAAGACCGCAGTGTACATTCTTAACAGGGTACCAAGCAAGGCAGTTGCTAAAACCCCTTATGAGCTATGGACAGGCAAGAAACCTAGCATTAAGCACTTGCACATTTGGGGTTGTCTAGCTGAGGCACGGCCTTATAGGCCATATGAAAGAAAACTAGACTCAAGGACGGTTAGCTGCTATTTCGTTGGTTACGCTGAACGCTCTCGGGGCTATAAGTTTTACTATCCCACATCAAGATCCTTCTTTGAAATGGGAAATGCGAGATTCCTTGAGGATATTGAGTTTAGAGGGGAAGCAAACATAAGGAACTTTGTCTTTGAAGAAGAATCTGTTATTGACAGCAATTAGGTCTCTGTACCTATTGTTGTTCAAGACACGGTCTGGCAATAGATGACAATGTTCAGGCTCCTATTCCTGACATTGTTTCAGACCAAGACAACAATGAGATTCTTCCTCAAGCACCACCTATAGAACAAACTCAACAACCTCAAGAAGTGCTATTAAGGAGATCCACTCAGGAGAGAAGAAATGCGATTTCAGATGATTATATCGTCTTTCTTCAAGAACATGAGGATGGTTTAACGGAGGATGACCCGATCAACTTCCATCAGGCCATGCGCAATTCTAACTCTCAGAAGTGGATTGATGCCATGAAAGATGAGATAAAGTCTATGAAAGATAATGACGTTTGGGATCTCGTCGAGTTGCCTAAAGGTGTGAAGCCCATTGGTTGTAAGTGGATATTTAAAACCAAGAGGGATTCAAGAGGCAGTGTCGAGAGATATAAAGCTCGTCTAGTCGCTAAAGGCTTTACTCAAAAGGAAGGCATAGACTATAAAGAGACTTTCTCTCCGGTATCTTCGAAAGACTCTTTTAGAACAATAATGGCACTAGTGGCTCATTTTGATCTAGAGCTACATCAGATGGATGTCAAGACTGCGTTTCTCAATGGAGACATTGATAAGACGATTTACATGGTACAACCAGAAAGCTTTGCATTAGGAGATCCAAAGTCTATGGTTTGTAAGTTGAAGAAATCCATCTACGGTTTCAAACAAGCTTCCCGTCAATGGTATCACAAGTTCCATCAAATCATTACCTCGTATGATTTTGAGGTAAATGTTGTTGATGACTGTGTATATCATAAATTCAGTGGGAGTAAATATATCTTCTTCGTATTATATGTTGATGATATTCTACTCGCTAGCAACGATATAGGCTTATTGCATGAAACCAAGAAATTTCTAACGAAGAAATTCGAGATGAAAGATCTTGGGGATGCCTCTTTTGTATTAGATATTCAGATACTGAGAGATCGTTCTCGAGGTATCCTTGAACTTTCACAAAAGAGCTATATCGATAAGGTTTTGAGTAGATTTGGCATGAAAGATAGTAGACCAGGAGACACGCTCATCTCTAAAGGAGACAAGTTTAGTCTCAAACAGTGCCCCAATAATGATCTTGAAAGTGAAGAGATGCAGAAGATTCCCTATGCATCAGTGGTAGGGAGTCTAATGTACGCTCTCCCGACATAGCATTTATAGTGGGAGTTTTGGGTAGATACTTGAGTGATCCTGGCATGCAACATTGGAAAGCAGCCAAACGCGTGATGCGTTATTTGAGGAGAACAAAAGACTACATGCTCACTTATCGGAGATCAGATAGTTTAGAGATCATCGGGTTCTTTGACTCCGATTTTGCGGGATGCCAAGATAGCAGACACTCCACATCAGGCTACGTCTTTATGTTGGCTGGAGGAGCTATCTCATGGAAGTCTGCTAAACAGACTCTCATAACTTCTTCAACCATGGCTGCGGAGTTCATTGCTTGTTATGAGGCATCCAACCATGGAATATGGCTACGAAACTTTGTCACTGGACTACGAGTGGTAGATGGCATTGACAGGCCATTAAAGATTTATTGTGACAATAACTCAGCGGTGCTTTACTCCAACAACAATAGGAGTTCGACAAAGTCGAAATTCATTGATATCAAGTTTCTAGTTGTTAAAGAGAGAGTTCAAGATAAACAGATTTCCATAGAACATATAGGAACAAATTCCATGCTAGTGGACCCACTAACCAAGGGCTTAACGTCGAAGGTCTTTCATGAGCACACTGCTCACATGGGCGTTGTTTTCGAGGATATTCTAGTCTAGTGGGAGTCAATTTTATGTTATATATGTTTGCTTTAGACATTAAATTATTTAACCTTTTGCAGAATAAAGTTGATGGTCTATGATTCTATTTCTGAGTTTGCTTGTGTTTTCATTGTGCAATGTTTGCATTGCATTAAGGACTTTGGAATGATCTCACTAAAGACTAAAGAAGGACCAGTTGGAAATAGGCATGTTTGAGATCACATTTCATATAAATTTCCATGCTACTCATCCATATTTGATCTATGTCATTAAGTGTATTAATATGTTGATCATCGTGGTTTAATCACTAATGTATTGTGATGAAAGTTGCGGTGGTTCCATTATTAGTATATGAGATGGACAAGATTGTTTAAGGAGTAGTCTAATGATAAATAGCATACAGATGCGCGCCTAAGAAGTTTTGTAATATAATTGTTTGAGGAATAATATGTAGCCAAGTGGAAAATCGTTAGAAAAACACGATTTTCCTAAATTAATATTGGCAACATATTAATACAATTATATTAGCTATTTAATATAATGGGAAAAAATCAAGTGGTCTATTTTTTGTATGCCCATAGACTACTCAAATTAATATGGACTAAGTGAGTAGATACCGGCTAATATTACTCTAATTAAGGGATAATGGGAACCTTAATTAAATAGTATATAAATGTTATTTTGGTTATGGTCCCCAATATACCAAATCATACACTCTTTTCCCTTCTCCCCATCAAGAAGAGAAATCACGGTCCCATTGAGGAATAAGGAGATTTGGTTGAGGAAGATCACAAAACCACCCTCTTCATTTGCATTCATCGGTACGTAGTCGATTGTCGCAGTAATTCCGCAACAGTAGGCAATCGTTTACAATGGATACAGGTATATTATCTGAATCTGTGAATCCTAGTAATTTAGCATGATGTTGATCCTAGGATTTAATTTATATTTGGATCTAATTTGATTTTCTAACAATTCTTCCTTAACAGTGTTTAGGGCTAGATACTTATTTTTCTTAGATTCGGGTAGGCTAAGTTCATAGGTTTGGAAAGACCTTACTAACTCTTCTATTTTAATAACATCCAAGTCTTTGCTTTCCTCAACAGTTGTGACCTTAGATTTAAATCTTTCAAGTGAGGATCTCATAACTTTCCTCACAATTTTAGCTACAACGTGTTTTATGCAATGTGATTTAACCACAAGTTCACAGTGTCAAGTTTTGTAATATAGTGATAGAATTGAAGTGTCGAATCCACATGGATTGATATTTGATTCCTATTGAATACTATAATTATTTTAACTTCTACTTTATTTAGAAAACCAATTTTTGACTTGATATGTTCATGCTAAATTAATATGATGTGAATTAGATGGCAATTCAAACAATTCAAGATGAAATATATGAAAATAATCAATGCAAAGAAGCCTAGGGAATGATTTCACCACCTTATCGACGATGTTTTTCAATCTCTATGGTTATTTCTCTAAATTCTCC